AACTTTGATTATTTATTTGGAAATATACTATAATTGAAATATCATTTTAAAAAAGGATAACAGTTTTAAAAAGTCAAATTAGAACTGGAGATTGAAATCATATTTCGTATTAAAGTTGTTCCAAAGATTTGAAAAACTCTTTTTTTTACACCATTTTTTTTCAAATAACCTAACTAACCATAATGTCATATTTCACGAAAGTTTGTTTCCCGGTAATTCACTGATGTTTAAGCTATAAGTTTGCCCCACAATACAGTAATTGGTATTTCGATCATTCATAATTATAAAGGCAATTTTTTTTTTTGCGTTACTCAGCAATTAATTGATAAAATGTATTAATGATTTGAATTTAAAATTTTTCATGAAATATAAATAAAAATAATATTTTCATCCTGACTTATCAATTGAATATGTTTCTTTGAAAATTAGATTCAATTCATAATTTTTAATACATTTTTGCATTAGTTTACCGTAAACTAAAGCAACTTCTCGCAAACTAAAACTTTTCGTAAACTAAACCAATGCTTCACATTTAATTAATTAATTAATTAATTAATTAATCCTTAACAAAAGGAAAAAAATATACCATAACATAATTTTACTTATTTTTACTGGCATTCATTTATTTCTCTCATAATCTTTCCGTTAAATAAAAAAAAAAAAAATGGAACAAATAAAAATCCACATTTAAACTATTTATTGCTCTCTTATTATACAAAATTTTATCATTTTTTTGAACAAAGAAGGAAAAGATATAAATGGTTGTTTTATTGGGCAGTAAAACTTGTAAATATATAACTAATTATTTAAATAAATATGCTTATGTATTTAACTTTTTTTTTTTTTGACTACTTACGTTGTTAATTGGGAAAATCATGAATTATATAAAAATATCATTGTTAGTAACTATTAGCAATTATCCATGCATTTCTTGTTTAAACAAAAATTTAAAAAATTATAGAGCAATTAATATTCATCAAGAAATATGCAAATGCTTATTAATACGCATAGAGAAAAGGAAAAAATACAATTTTGTTAAGTTTATACAAATGATTGATTATTTAAAAGGAAAATGAATTGACGAGAATTTATAAAAATAACGATAGGAATGGATGATTTTAAATGTTTGTAGAAATGATTTAATTTAAATTATACAGATATTGTAAAGATTGAAAAAATCCATTTTGCAATATTTTGATTCAACAAAATGAATAATGCTTTATAAAATATGATAATTATTAACTATAATTGAATAAAATGCTTTTAATGGTTTAGTTAATTGAAATTTTCATGAATAAATTTCAGAAGAGATAGGCAAACTTTATTTTAATATAATTAAACTGTATTAATGAAATCTTAACCTATTACTTTTATTTAAACTGAATTTAATCGTTTTCTAAGGAAATGATTTCCATCAAACTTTAAGCTGTAGTTAATGGATGTTATTAATTAAGGTTATTCAAAACTTAAATTAAACATAATTTTGATTGATTTTCATTCATTTACTGTTTTACTTTCACAAATTAACTGATGTCATTCAAATTTTCAAATTTTAAGTCACAAACAAATATTTAAGTGCAATTAATATTTTATTACTTAAAGTTAAAATGTGAATATATGAAATGCATTAAAATGTGAATGGATTATATGATGGAAAGTTAATTTTAAAATTAATTCTTATATCTTAAGTGTTCAATATATTACTTAAATAATACGATGTAACATTTTCGAATGTGAAATTTTACTGTATAATGTGATATTTATGGACATAATTTGATAATGTTCATATTAATTTATCCACCGCATATCATTTTTATTCAACCCACGCATATGCAATTTCTTTTTTTTTTTTTTAGTATAATTGGTGTTGAATATTTCAATGATGAATGTTTTTTGATCATTATTATGCTAAAGAATTGAATTATTGCAAAAAAACATATGTTAAAATAAATTTATCCTACGATAACAACACAAATGTTTAACAATTTTTAAAATGCATTTTTACACCTTTTAAATATTAAAAATTTAATCACAGAATTCAAACATTTCATTATTAAAGTTATCATTATAGGAATTTAAATTTATTACTACGCTACCTTGTTTATTTCGTTTCATATCTTTTTTTTTCTCCTTTCTTAATCAAAAAACAAAAAAAAAGAAAAAAAAACTTCTGTAAATTGGTTTATTTGAATATTTAATTTTTGATTTTTTTTCAATTTATATTAGAATTTAAAATAATCATGCCGAAAAGGTATGCATTAGTTCAAAACGTGCACATACAATAATTTCACTGATAATCAATTTTACAAACTTCTAAGTGATTAAGCAAGAAATGCATTTGTTACATTGATCCCTTTGTACTAAATAAAGGAAGGCAAATTCTTCCTGATAATTTTATTGATAAGAACGAGAGAATTATGATTAATTTCAGCATAATTTATATATTTAAATAAAATTTACAATTTAATTTTTACCATCTGTTGCATGATCGAGGTATGCTATTGCATATCTCCTATCAATCATAATAGTTGCTAATCCGCTTCGATTTTTTTTTTTTAAGCAATTTTTGAAAATTTTATCACCTTCTTTTTATCCTCTCCTTCTCTCTTTACTCAAAATTTCACCCACTTACTTCCTCTCGTCACACACTTTAATTCCTGTGCTTTATTGAAATATCATCGAATTAATGAAGTACAATTTTTTTTCATTCGGATATAATGATTTGAGGAAAGTGCAACATCGTGACTGGTTATAAAAGTTTGAATGTCAGCTTATAATTGCTATTTTCAACTTGGCAAAGCAAAAATTGTCGGATGGTAAACAAACTTTTAATAGTGGTGTCCTCAAAAATTTTTCCATATTACCAAATATTACAATCATATCTTTAAAGTGAAGTCATCTTATGTACTTATTAAATTTCAAATGCAAAATTTTAGTATTATGAAAAATTATGAATATTATTTAAAATTCTCTTACAAATGGAAAAAATAACTAAGCCAAGTATTTAACTGATTGCAAGAAACTTTGTGCTAGTGATAATATTGTTTTGGTTTAATAAAATGATAACAGGAAAGTATCTTGGATTGAATTAAATTTTAATTTTGATAATTATTGTTGCATAAATTATTTTGTTAGAATGATAACATTTAATGATTGCATGAAATGACCATTCTATGTTTCTTTCATTTGAATTATTTAATCAACCTAAATTCAATCACTTCCTTAAAAATTTTGCTTATTTTCCAGGAAATGTTTATCATTTTTGGTCAACAAATGGGTACTGTAAATTCAAAAATTCAACAAAATAGTAAACGAATATTACTATTGTTGGTATTATTTACTTCACTACATCTGATTATGCCAGCAAGGAGTTTTGTACAACATAGATATCATCCAAACAAACTTGACCAAGTATCCATCCTTTTTTCTCCTTCTTTTGATAAAATTTATTTAAAATAATATGTCCAACTAAAAATTAACAACCGGGTTTAATATTATAAATCACTGGAATGATTGATACAATTTGGAATATATTAGAATAATTTTATTACTTTGAACAACATTTCAAAAATTATTGCATATTTAAAAACTTTGAAATTTTTCATATAGTAGTAATATGTGGCAATAAGTTTGTTGTCTTGATTTCGATAACTACTATTAAGTTTATATTTGAATTTTGATAACTACGATTTTACTAATCCAACAAATAAATGCATGAATTTCAGTTAGTCCGCCGATTTCATCAATTTCCTTACCTAATTTAAATTTAGGATATTGCAAACGATTTACAATTAATGGATTTGCTAAAACGATCAACTGAAAAAAATTGGGAAGAAATTGATCCAAATTGTGGAATTTATCGGCATCAATCATTACATGCTGTTATGGATCGAGTTTGCGAACTTTGTCATGAAATGTTTTCCTATGAAGAGAATAGTCTACGAGCTGAATGTCGGTTCGTCTTTCAATCTTTGATATTTTTGTAGAAGATAAATGAATTCCCTAATTAAAATTGAATGGTCATTATCAAGTTTTTCCTACTTTTAAAATGGCTATTTCTAATTTCACTTTAATTGTTTTATCGGTTTGATTAATTTGCGATAAATCGATCAATATCAGATCGTATCATTATTCCAGTCTTAAATGTAGCAATTTGATGAAAGAAAATCATCAATTCCATTGATGACTTATTCATATTGGAAAATTTAAATCTAACAAAAATGTATACTTTTGTAAATCAATGTTGGAGAAAAAGCAAAACTTTACAGAAATTAACATTAATTTTCAATTAATTCTTTTTCTTTTTGCAGCAAGAATTGCTTCCGCAATAAAAAATTTCGTACATGTCTACAGATCTTTTCACCCTCAGCAAATGTTGCTGAAAATTAACAAATGATAAAATGGGCAAATGGAATATTATTGATGACGTATATTTTAATAGCATTTATCTCAATCTGAATCCCGAATTTCATCTAATTGTTATGGTCTATCGGGTATTTTAATCATTTGTCATTTGTCTCTTTATTGTAGTTGATAAGAGCCAGTCCTTTAATATATATATATATATATTGAATAATGTAATTTCTCCAACAATTTTATTGTCTTTCTTGAAATTCGATTTCATCTAACACCTAACATACATTTATGCTTGATATTCCATTTTTATAGTTTGTCTAGAATAAAAAAAAAAAGAAAAAAAAGGGAAAAAAGTATTCCTTCTATATATATTAAATTAATAACTTATTTCAAACTACAATATGATTACACCATTCGTCATTTCTTTTTTTCACTAATCCATCATTGTTACTTAATAACAAGAAAGTTCTTTTTTTTTTCTCAATCTCTTCAACAAATCCTTTCATTTATATCATTGTGATCAAAAAATGGAGAAAAAAAAGTTAAAATTAATAGATTGGATATACAATTAAGCAATTTTTATTACTTAGAAAGGCTTTTTCAATTTCATTTTAACAAACGGTAGAAAAAAATTTTTAAATTGGTTGGTTTTGTAAAATTTTTTAGTTTATTTTGCTTGTTGGAAAAACTACATAAATTTAAAAATTTTCAATACAAAAAATATCGGTCGTTTCCATACATTTTAAATAAATTCCGGAATTTTTATTTCAATTTGAATATATGTTCCATTTATAGGCGTAAAAAGAAAATGAAGAAAATAACTGAATGGTTTACATGAATGATCTTTTCTTAATAGAATTACATATCGGCATATGCATTTTAAGGAACGTTCTAACAATTTCAAGATTTTGATAATTTAAATTAATTTCTGTTTATACTTTGAAATTCAAATTCAGTTTTCTGATTGGTGATATTATGCATCAAAATATCAATGTTATCTTTAATAACATTTGCTAAACTTATCATTTATGACATTCATTTTCTTTTCTTCTCCTTGGCATAAATTCTTCCAGATAATTCTTTGTTTTTTGTTGTTTTTTTTTTTTTTTTTTTAATTTTGTTTTAGCATCATTCGTTCCATTCCGGTCACTGAGCCAATATAATTCTGTTGATCAAAAGTGATGCACGGTGAAACATGGATTGATTTAGCTTCAAAATTTGCGAAGATACTGTACCCAAAGGCAGTGTGCACAAATTTTTTCATAATAGAATTTCGCGAATTGGAAAAAAAAACAAAGGTTCAGATGATGAATTCAATTGTAGTGAGATGAAAGATTCTCGAACTGAAACATTTCATCCTCAGTTTGATAAAATTATCAGTTAGAGAATAAAATTCAATCATAAGATGAACATAGGCATGAATTAAAGCGTAATTCAGCTCAAGTACGCAACCTTACCAGTATGCTATCACTAAGTTTCCGATTAATTTTATCCTTGTCTTACGGACATACACAAACAGAAGGATAACCAAAATTGCATACTATTTCTGTTTGACTTAATCACATTTGGCAAGCTGAAGTAGATTAAATTTCCGGAAAGTCTAGAATGCTATCTCTTAGATTTGTGAAACCCTTGTTAGTTTGAGCTCGAGATTTTTAAATTTAAACTAACCCAATCGTCACTATAAAACACAGATAGTCTTATAGATCGTATCCCCGTAATCCTAAAAACGGTTTTCTTTACATGATAAATACGGTCAAGCATATATCATAATAAATTAATCCAAGTTGAGAAAACCAAAAATTTTAAAGCAATCATCAGTTTAATTAATGATTAACATTCTGAGAGTCCCTGGGGATATTGCTATATGACTGTATCCGATTTGTGGTTATTATATCACTGAGAGAATATGCCACTAAATGGCTGAATATGGATGACAGTAATGATAATAATGATGATGTATAAGTAAGAAATAAAGGATAAAAAGACTGTTCTAATATTTAATCTTGTCGCCAAAGAACTGAAGTTCCGGGCTCTGCTGGCATAATTAATGCTAATGTACTGTAATACATTACTGCTGACAACCCCTTATTGTGGGAAGCACTAGAAGCCGCAGACCCAACCGTGCATGCAGGCTGTTTAGGACATTGGTCGCTCGAAATTGACCCCGAAGAAGACAGTCTTGCTCGGCAACATCCCGAATAAGGAAAGCACTGCTTGCTCCACACGGAGAAAAGCTTAAAAAAAGGTGACCTAAGCAAAGTTCATTTCCATCTTCATCCGGCTGGCTAATCGCGGCCAACCGGCATTTTCTGATACGCTTGAACAAGGACAAAAAGACAAGGGTATACTATAATGGGAAATTTCTTGTATTCTTGTAGTGTTGTGCAACGTAACACAGCGTGACAAAATTTCCCTTTACTTTCACCTCAAATTTTGGTAATTAGATCAATTAGATAAAGGAAAAGAAAAAGGAAAAAACATTCACGTCACATAATCATTGAGAGTTTAAAAAAGAAAACGAATTAACGCATAAAGTTAATTTCATAAATGTAGTTACAAGATAATTTCGAAGACATCAATCTGGAAAACAAAAGGAAGAATGTCCTCCTACTAACTCCAGGGTTCATCTATACATCTTTCATAGATTTATTACAAGATTACAAGAATTTTATATTTTTATTTATGATTACAAGAATTAATGCCTATATTAGCTCATGCAGATAAAGCACTTGTTGTTACCAGTCAATGATAAAGCACTTTGTGAACGCACATTAGTGTACAGCTCTATGGGTACCTTTGTTTAGCAAGGTACCTTGCTAAACAACGTAGAGAAAAACCTGGATGGTTTTTAATCTTTGTCACGATCCAACATGGTACGTGCAAATTAGTAAATCACTACACATTCGTTTATGATTCTTTATATTTTCCTTTATCGCGTAACTTCGCGTTTATTCGCGACACATATACTTGCCTCCAAGGGTGTGCACGAATTGACATTCGCGTGGTAGAACATCAGAACCATGCTTGATAATGCGATTGGTGGACATCCTGAACGTCGCTCTGCTCTAATTGCTCACGAACTATTACGACTCAATATCGATATTGCTGCTGTCAGTGAAGTTCTTCTCGATGAGGACGGTAGCTTCAATGAACATGGTGCTGGCTACATACTTTACTGGTCAGGAAAACCCAAAACCGAAAGTCACCTTCCAGGAGTTGGCTTCATGGTTAAAAACTCCATCGTCTTCAAACTCTGCCGACAGGTCATTCCAATCGTATTATGTCCTTACACCTCCCACTACACAACAAGCAACAAGTCCTTTTCTTTATATATTTCAGGTATGCAAGCTGACCGCATGGAAAAAAACATTCTATACCGATCTACGCGTCTTATCCAAAAGGTTTCTCCAAATGATAAGGTTATAATCTTTGGTGACTTCAACGCTAGAGTTGGGAAGAATTCCGAAACCTAGAAAGGAGTAATGGACAAGCATAGTATTGGAAACTGCAACAACAATGGATAGCTCCCGCTAGAATTTTGTGCAGAACAACAATCCACCATCACATATCGTGCAGCAGCGATACAGCTTAAAGATAACCCGGATGCATCCTTGATTCAAGTACTGGTACCTCATCGACTATGTCTTAATGCCCTAGAGAAACGTTCATGAATTCCGTCATATCCGAGTTGTGCCTAATGCGGAATGTTAAACAGACTACTGTCTTGTGCGATGCAAATTTAACTTCCGCTATAAGCCCAAACCTAAGATGATTGCAATTCCAAGAAAGAGGTTTATAGTTAACAATCTCCAAATACCTATAGTGAAAGATAACTTCCAGATAAATCTTCAACCGGACTTCAAGATCCTCCCACAGATCCTTCTTCTGAAACTCTTTAGCAACATATTAAAACCAGCATTCTGTAATTTTCCGTGGAATCCTTAGGATTCCCCTGCAACAGGAATAAAGACTGATTCGATGAAAACAATGAAGAGATCCAGCATCTGTTGATAAAAGAAAATATCTACTTACCAAGCACACCTCGCTCATGCAAAACAAATAGCGGACCAACCCAGAAGAAAACATTCAATTGCCGCGGATTCCGGTGACTATAGAGGATTCCACGAGACTCTGAAAGCTACGTATAGACCCAAACACCACGGTCAAAGTTCCTATTCAGCGCAGATAACCAAACGCTTTTCACTGACAAAACCTACATCCCAAATCGATGGTCCAAATATTTCTAGACTCTCTTCAGTGTCACCCATGCAGTCAAGGCTCAGTTATTCGGCACATTGCATAACAACCGCTGAAAAGCTAAGTGAATATAACCTCCACTATGGCAGAAACGATCAAGGCCCTACAGCAGGTGAAAAATGGCAAGGCAGCTGGGATTGATGGTATCTCACTTGAGGTCTGGAAACACGGAGGTCAAGTACTCTACTCTAAGTTTCACGAGCTCGTTCTGAAATGTTGGGAAAAAAGGCGAACTTCCACCAGGACTTCGTGATGCAATTTTTACTACCTTATACAAGAAGAGTAAAATAAGGCTGCTCAAATTGCCGAGGTATTATCCTGCTCTCTATTGTTGGCGAAATCCTTTTGAACACATTAGTACCCGCTGTATTAGAAAAAGTTCTATCTGAAAGCAAATGTGGCTTCAGAACCATTAGGAGTATCACAGATGTGATATTTCTTCTCCAATAAGTGCAAGAGAAATGAAGAGAACAGAACAAAAGGCTTCCATATAATCTGCGTAGACCTCACCAAAGCCTTTGACACCTTGAGCAGAAAGGATTTATGGTAGATCTTGGAACGATTAGGATATTCTCCAAGTTCCTGAAAATGATCATGCTATTACATGAAAATCAACGCAACCAAGTCAGATATGGCGATGCACTCTCCGAACCATTTCCAATAATCAATGGATGAGACAGGGTTGCGTTCTTTCACAACTCTCTTCACAATCTACTTCAACGTGATGCTCCATAGGGTCACGGCAGACCTAGATGAAGACAGTGGTATTTACATCAGATATCGTATCGACGGAAGCCTATTAAACCTAAAACCTAGGCGACGGAGGCCCACACTAAGATTCTAAATTACCATGTCCGAGAGCGACTTTTTGCCAACTACCCCATCCTCATCCCCCATATAGAAGCAACTTTACAGCCCCTAACATCCTGTTTTGCAGAGACCGTAGAGCTTTTTGAGCTAGAAATAAACTTGAAGAAGATAGAAGTTCTCCACCAGCCTGCAGCATAGGACGATAATTTTCCTCCTCACAACACCATAAGCGAATCAGAGCTTAAGTCAGTCCAGCAGTTCAGCCATTTAGACAGCGTCATTCCTTCCAGTGTCAAGATCGATAAAGAGATTGTCAACAGGTTGCAAAGGTAAACAGTGTTTTCGGAAAATTCCATAAAAGAGTCTGGTGCAATAAACACCTGAAGAGACCAGTGTATATAAAGCTATTGTTACTGTCTCTTCCATGATATGGTTCTTAATCATGGATCATCTACCGTTGCTATCTTTGACTCCTCGAACACTTCCATCAGCTCTGCTTCCGTACAATGTTAAACATCCATTGGACTACATATCCAATGTTACTGCTCACGCACAAGTGAGAATCACCAGTATTGAGGCCATTGGGGTGGACATGTCTCCAGAATGGAGGATCATCGCCTTCCTAAGATTCTATCCGCAAAAGAAGAGCCCCAAAGAGGAGATACAAGGAGGCCCTGAAACAATACCTTAATTTTGGCCATATTAGCTACCATTAATGGCCGACTCTGGCCTCGAATCGGGGGACATGGAGACACATCACTCATAATGTTGCTGCTTCCTTCGAGAACACACGCAGAATTAGTCTAAAGGACGAGTAACAATGCAGAAAAAACCGTACTTTATCAATACCGCCTAAGAAGACCTTCCACTGTGCATTTTGCACCCGAACTTGTTTATTCCGCATTGGTCTTCTTACCATCGGCACGCTTGCAGCAACAGTAGGTATAGTCTTTTATAAATTTTCGTTCTAAACCCTAGCCATGACGATGACGAGAATGAATGCTTAAACAAAAGAAAGTTAAGATGAAAAATTATTATATTTT